CCTTCAGAAGCTACACCCAGACGCTCCCTCGGGAACATACTGGATAGATCCACAGCACAAAAGTGGAAAATTGAAAAAGCAACTSCAAGTACACTGCGATCAGAAAACAGACGGWGGAGGCTGGACACTAGTATGGACCTATACATTTACAGATTATAAGAATTTTGAAAGTTTTAATAACGCCATTACACCATTCCCATCTTGGGATGCAGGTAACAGTAGAAAATGTGACTCGCCAGTATCCGTGACCCCTCCACGGGACGAAAAAAGTACGGGTGCCATGGAATTTAAACTATGGTCAACTATTGGTTCTAACTTTCTCATAAAATCAAACATAGTTAATTGGATATCTTGCTCTCCTCTTCGGGGAAGTTTTGTGGAAGGCTTAAGCGGATCAATAAACTGTCGTCTAGTTCAGAAACTAACGCAAAATTGTAAACAAGTCCCAGATAGGGTTAGATTTAGACAACTTGGACCGCATTGTGGACCGGTAATTTTTGAACATCAACCGTTTCCAGGAAAACCACCAGGCCACGGAATGAGGCCAACCCATGCAAGACCAAGGCCTATCAAGTGCAAGGACATATACATAGATTTCGACGGTAGTTCTAGGCGTGACTGGCCGATTCATAATGCATGCGAGTCTTGTGACTCAAGTCACCTGAAAGGCGTGTCAAATCCTCGAGTTAACGTTTACGTTCGCACATAAGAATCCGACAGATTTGATAAATCAAAACCTGGAATTTTAGATCAAAAAAACGTTCTTATATAAAAAGGTTTCACTAAAATKTTAGCTTTTAAGGTATTGCGACTATTGTTCGGGGGGAGGGCGTTCAGTTAATTTAGTTGTGATAACATTAACTCTTATTGTGTGATAAAACAAAATAAGGTGATGGGAGGATCTGCTCTCTGAGTTTGTAGTTTTGATTATATTATATATCTGTATATTTTCAAAGGTTAAACACAAGAACAACAAAAAATAAACAAAAAGAAAACAAATTAAAAAAAAAAAACAACATGAATAACAGACAAAGAAAAAAATATGCATACATATAAATTTTTTTCACGGGGTATAGATTTAATGACATTAATATATGAACAATTTAATCATGAATACAACAATCTAAAAGCATAGACTATACGATCTGTATAAGCTTTATTAATCACATTGATACTTTATAGTTTATCTACAAATAAATACTTAATTACAGAACAGCGTTGTTGCTGTTGTACCTCTTATTTTGAGCTACGTTTGTATGACTACACGAGTGGACCGCCAGGAACTGCGGCCAAGTCAAATTTCCCTAGAGGGAATCCTACATCCCTGCGTCCTAAGAAGAATGACATGTTAAAGTCTAAAACACATTTATTTGAATATAAGTTTAAGGATGTTTTTATCATGCAGAAATCAACAATAGTGGATATTTTTGTTTTTGTTGACTCTATATATTCCAAGGACGACAACGTGTCCAAAAATGCTGATTGGACTGAACCGCTATGAACTATGGATGCAAGAAAAGACCTTCTATGTAACCTCTAAGTCTTACAACCCAACAAGGAGAATAACGGGTGTTTAAAAATATGTTATATGGCTTGATATTCTTTTTGTTTAGTATTTAGTCGTTTAACATATGCCTAGAGGTCAATTCGGTCATGCAACCGATACCTTTTTCAATACCTTTTATAAAATACTGAACAGAATAAATTAATATACATAAAAAGCATTTTTTTTTATTTAGGTTTTAAGAGGCGTGTCGGGGGAATTCACCCCCTTTTTGCAAAATGTCTTTTCTAGGACATAAGTCAAGTATAACCATAGTTAAGGATATAAGGGGGTAGTTTCCCCCTCAACTCTACCAATTTCATCGCTTTTTACAAGCAACTAAACAAGCACACAAATTTATTAACATCCAGAAGTGAACACTGATATTMAATCATCCAAGAAAAGAAAGGAAATGGCTCTAGATAAATAAATTCAAGGGAATATCGATCAAATGTAGACAAAAAACTAYGATTGCAAGCTTAAGTCGATATTATGAAAATTTTAATGTTAGGAACCACATTTTTTGTACACAAATTTGATGAGCCAACTAAAAAAAACTTGGTTAATTTATGTATTTGATTTMTAATTTTTTGCATGTATTCTCTCTCTACATTGCCAATGTTAACATGTTGATACAAAAAAAAAGATGCATAGAAATATGCGTTTCTATTTCAAGTAAAGCTCTCAGCCTCAAAACAAACAAACAAACAAAAACAGCAATTCTGATAATAGTTACCTTCAAGAGGACAAAATAWAATATTTATATATTTTATATTGCAGCAATATGCAGAAATAGTGATCATTTTGACTCAAAGTATGGGATATTATCGCCAACATGTTTTTTTAAAGTTGACAAGCACTAGTACTTGCGGGAAAAAATATTGGCGATAATATCCAATAATTTCCGATATATTTTATATATACTTTAGTCAAAATGATCATAGGTTCTGCATATTTCTGTTTAATAATTAGAATATTAGAAAATAATTCACGCAACTTGTGTTCTTCACTTTTGTGTACTTTCATCATTTTGTTATRTCCAAACAAAGTATATTGTTACGCTCTTTTAGATGCCGCAAAATGTGATTTCTCCTGCGTGGTCAGTTTTCCAAAGGYGTATATATTTAGCACTTGCTTTCAATTACCGACTTCTCTCCGATCTATATCCGAATTTTATCGGCGGCACATTTGATGAAGTTTCCATGTTATATTTTTGGAGGTTGAAGAGTAAATAGCGTGATGCTTGCCGTTTTGATATTTTTTTTAACTAGAATTTGCACATTAAGTGCATTTAGAAAAACGGAAATGGCGGTTGTAAAAAGAATATTTTTAAACAATTTTATCGTTTGAAACACTTTTTGTTAGCAAGGTCATAACCAAGGCATCAAAGGCATACGCTAATATCTCTTTGAGCTCTTTGTTTTGCTTTTGTCTTTGAGTTAGATCCGAAAACGAAAAAAAAGACAATTGTCTGAAAGTGGGCAATTTYAATCAGAGCAGAAGGGCTTTTGTCTAATTCCTCTCCTTCTTTGAGCTAAAATTCTTATGCGTTAATACAACTTATTATCTAAAAGCTTCTATTATGGATTCCACACATTTAGAATTCATATAAAGACTGACTAATAATAACAATCAGATAATAATAATACTYTTCAAGAATCATATGCTATCTTTGATTCAAAGTTCAACTGTTTTGAACCTCTAAGCACACCATTTCATTGTTGAACATCACGGTTTTGATAAAGACGGTTTTCAATTTGAAGTTCGGATTRATCGTCACAAGCTCTGACKACTTGTTGCAAACGTGTCATTTGTTGAAGTAATCTCGTACGAAATCTTGCTTTTTGTGTAGACTGAGGTATTTCCAAGAAAGTAATCCTATCCAGAGAGATATTCGATAGGAAATACGCTTGTAGATTAGAGCATAAGGAGATTATACTACATTAAGAATGACCAAGCAAATACTTCTTTTGGGTTTTACTTTGAATTTCTCCCGGGRTTTCCGATTACGTCGATCCATTTAGGCACTTTCATAGTCGACGACCTGTTTGGATTTTCAAAGTATGTTCATTGCACAGTGAGAGCAATATCTATACGTTTTAGAAGCAAAGTGTCTGTATATTATAATGAAATTATGTCACCCGGAAAATAGCTTTTTTACGCATAGGCGCTTATCTTTGCTCACTTCTTGACAAGTTTTAAACTTCTGTGCTTCTTAGCAATGAGGAAGTCCCAGAGCTCCTTGGCGGTCTTCTCTCAAATCCACTAAAGATTGATTTTCGAAAGTCTTGCTTCCCGAGAATGTAAAGCACGGGGTTAAACAAAGNTTTCGATCTCTATGCGATTTCGCGAAGTCGTTTTTTTTGTCCTTTGGGAGAGCAAGATGAGCGCTTTTTTTTTTTTCAACGTCTTTTATGGACCTTTTTRTTTTTTTTAACGTATAGCCTCTTTCGGAGATGCTGTTTTTTTTTACATCCTTCCTTTCCACCCTATGGCATTTTTTTTCTTCTTCACTTTGAATGACGTAGGCAATTTTTTTTTTTTGAAAATTTGAATTAGTGTTTCCCTTTTTTTTAAGAAGGCGCCGATCTTTGCTTGATATAACAAAAGCGTTTTACCTCTGAAAAGATCTTCCTGTTTTTTTTACAATATCAAAATTCAGAAATTAAACCTTTTTTTTTCAATTTGAATGCTTGTTCTTTTTTATTTTTTTTTTCGTTCGAACTTTCTTGACCAAAGAGTTTTTTTTTACTTGCGTCCTAGGTGCACTTCTTGCTCCACAATATTCAACCAACACTCGGGCAGCAGAGATTTTTTGAAGTTGATGAATAAACTGACTTTTCTCTASGATCTAGTTGTCTTGAAATCTCTGAAGATAAAAAAATGAATAAGAGAAGATTACTAGGGAATTAAGAAAGGAAAGAATTGAAATTTAAAACCCTTATATGTATACCAATTGCTTCACTGATTCCTAAGTAATCTGATTTACAAATGCAGAGCTGAAATCAAGACGAACTTCTAATACAGCACTCAAGATTTTTGATTCTTGACTGAGTTGGAATTCTGGGTACGGTCGATAAGGGCTTCAAATTTCAATTTACGTAAGCATCAGGCATTAGGGCCTCGATTTTTTTTCTCCACAACACTTAAGGCCGAGCTCATAGGGTCTGTTTTTGTTGTTATTCAAATTGGAAAATAGAAACATTTCTTTGTATATCCCATATCGAACAGATTTTTTTTATATGAGCTGTCAAATTGTTTTTTTAATTTTTTTTAAAATGTCAATTCCTGTCAGTATTGTGTCATTTAAAAGGTACTTTGCTGCTCTTTTTAGTTATTTTTTTTCGTAATTGCTTTTCGGCATTGCTTTCTTTTTTTTTATTCTCATATTGCCAAGGAGAACGAGCTTTGTAATTAGTAAGACCATAGGGGGGAGAAACCCTTTTTTTTAATGACTTTCAAGGAGAATGCTATTATGATTGAAAATATCTTCAGTTTGCATACACRAACTTTTTTTTTTTGCATTTTGGTTTGMTTACAATTCAAATTTTTTTTCTATAAGACGTCTACAAGAATGCCGTATTTTTTTTTAACACCAAATGCAGAAGACACACAAATTTTTTTTCAAAGCAACAGTATTTCTATTTGAATGTTTTTTTTGTATAAAATAGTGCGTAAAACAAAAGTTTATTTATGAGCTACTTAATATTAATGATTAAAATTTTTTTTTAACTTTCAATGGAACTTGAGAGCAATTTTTTTTTTGTTCGGTTGTATGCATTGCCAAAGTCACTGGGCTAAGCAAAACATTTTTTTCGAGAACAGGTTTTTTTTTGCTCAAGCAATAAGACTGTACCCAAAATTTTTTTTACAACAAAATAGAGAAAAAGTAAAAAATTTTTTTTAAAAACAACAAGAAAAACTAAACAAGAACGAGACAGGAAATGGAATCACGAAAACATCCTGGTTTTTTTTTTCATTTTTCGACAAAGGAATATTAACTTTTTTTTCAGAATGCATCCGTTATATTCCATTCATTTTTTTTTATAATTATGGTTGAAGGTCAATAATATTTTTTTTAAAAAATTTTTCAGAAAAATAATATTTTTTTTTTTAATATTACTTATAAACAAATTACTAGATTTTTTTTTCAATCTTTGAGACTTTGTCTTTATTCTTTTTTTTCTTCAATAAAAGATGAAAAAGAAGAGAGAAATAGAAAATATTCTTCAACAATTTACATTATATGATCCCCACTTTTTAGGCTCGTCAAATTTATTCTTTTTTTTTGCTTATAAATGAATAAAGACAGCATTTTTTTTTTTAGTTGTCATGCACTGCCAAGATTACTATTTTTTTTATGAACGCACGATATCACGAAAGACATTCTTATTGTAAGAGAGTTTCTTTATCGTCAGAAAGTTTTTTTTAGAGACATGTTACTGAACTGAAATTTATTTTTTTTTAATAATATAACATCGTTTAGAGTGAATTTTTTTTACTCTGGAAATAGGTATTACACTAATATTTTTTTTGTAGACGTTCTCTAGATGCATTGTTTCTTTTTTTTCTATTTGACTGTCACACTTTGGCAGTCTTTTTTTTTTTTATGTTTTTTACCCAACTCTAAAATTTTTTTTTGTGTTATAGAGTGAAGTAGTATAGAGTGTAGTCGTTTAACCCATGGCATTGATATAGCACTTTTTTTTTTTAGCAGGCACTTAATCAATTGCAAAGTGCCATTCTTTATCGATCTTTTGAACATTTCTCTGAGGAACTGTTACACCTTAATTGCAATTTACTATATTTTTTTTTAATATTCGTTTGATAATACCATTATATTTTTTTTTTGACGGCAATATTTGGAACGGCAATCAAATTACAAGCACCTCTGAAAATGTTTTGATAAGGTATATTTTTTATCTCAGCAAATATTGCATAAAATAATTTTTTTTSYGATAGKAASTCGACAGGCACAATGTTTTTTTTTAAACCATGAAAAAGATCACTAATTAAACAATGATTATTAGTTGATTTATGGGAATTTCATTMTTTTTTTTGTTTGCACTTTTTCACATGYAGTAATATTTTTTTTTAATTAAACCCKTRAAACAAAACAACATTTTTTTTAKTAATTCCTCCTTCCTYAYTAGGCAGTTTTTTTTTCTTTAATGTGTATGTTTTCATAAATYTTTTTTTTTTAGTGATGTACTAGATACAATTGGTATTTTTTTTTAWAATTTTTGATATATAACGCGCGCTTTTTTTTTCTGACGAACGTGTTTATATCGGAGTACTTTTTTTTGGCTTACCGGCAATTTTTTTTCGCTCGTTTTTTTTATAAAAGAGATATAAAACGGCCGCTTGTTTTTTTTTCTGTCCTCTGATATAAACACTCTCGTTTTTTTTTATTCMCACYGTGTTTATATCAGAGGACTTTTTTTTGCGCCRTTTTATATTTCTTAAAATAAAATCTACTAGTTAGTACTTCTTTAATTGTATGTYTCTTTTTTTTAGTGCGTTGACTCTATGACGCTAAAAATTTTTTTTAATCATGCATATAAGCAATGGGCATATTTTTTTTTCTTGAAAAGGAAGTCGAACTCGCAAGGTGGTCAATTCTTCCAGGCTTGGAAGCATAATCGTTTTTTTTTTACGCCCAGAATGAGCTTTGCCGCTTTCAGCAGTTTCTCTAAACTGAGAAGCATCCGCGAACATTTTTTTTTGCTGGGAGGTTGGCGGTTATTATGTATTTTTTTTAATTGGATTTCTCAATTTACGAACTTATTTTTTTTGTCATTGTAACATATAAAGCGCTTTAGATTCGACTTGTTACGCTACATTCAATGAAAACAATTTTTTTTTTTCTTCTAAATCTCCCATCTTTTAAAATTTTTTTTGTTCAAAATCATAGATGTGGGCTTGATTTTTTTTTATTGGCATTTTTTCTCGCACATAAGGGTTTTTTTTAGAGGGTAGTAGAGGTAGTAGTAGAGGTTTTTTTTGGTGTTTTAGCAATGGAGTGTTCGTTTTTTTTTTTATACAAACAATTATAACTTTTCAGCATTTTTTTTTTTTAAAATCTGCTTAACTTGACTTTTATTTTTTTTGAAAATTGTGTCAAAGATTAGTATGTTTTTTTTTTTTGAAATCTGGTGTTAATCTGCTTTAATGAGCTAAGAGTCTACTAGATTCTTGGAGCTTAAATTTTTTTTCGTGCTCATCACAACGGGGCTGATCGATTTTTTTTTGTTGTCGTTTACATTATTTTTGTTAATTTTTTTTTGACTGAGCGAAGATCAATTTCACAGGTTTTTTTTTTTCACTGCTGCAAATCTTTTTTATTCTTTTTTTTATAAATAGCAGTTGTGCTCAAAAAATGTTTTTTTTTAGATAAGGGTGTTCCAGTGATCATCGTTTTTTTTGAAAATTCACTTAAAATTAGTGATTTTTTTTTTTTAAAGTCCAATTACCTTATTTAGGTGGCTTTTTTTTAAGGCCTACACAATCAGTAGACGCGTGTTTTTTTTGAATGATTGAGAACATATGATAGTGTATTTTTTTTACAGAAGCAATAAGCACAGACTATTTTTTTTTTTTCAAGATCAAATTCGCATTATGAACTGAGAAAACTGCATCTGCAGGAAAGTTTTTGTGATTGATTTTTTTTMCAACTAGGGAGTGCAAGGGATTATACATGGAAGTAAAACTAGCGATAACATCTTTGTATTCTTTTTTTGATAAAATAATAGAGGCCTGCAGGGCGGTTTGACTTGTGGAAATGTGCCTTAAGAGATCTTATCGAATTTTTGATAAAAAAGACACAACATATATTGTGAATSAAATTGAACTCCGATGCCCTAAATAATAACTTTGAAGTTTTAAAAACCATCCAATATGCTTGCAGTATTCATTCTCTTTGAAAGAAAACAATGAGAATTATTTTTTTTATTAAAATTGAATATATATGATATATATTTTTTTTTTAGCGATAGAATGTTTTCCTTAATATTTTTTTTTTTCACACTAAAAAAAAAAACCTGAGCATTTTTTTTAATTCAGAAGGAAAATATAACAATGTTTTTTTTTTTTCCTTAAAAAGAATACTAGAGAATAATTTTTTTTAAAAAAGGAACAATATTAGAAGGGAAATTTTTTTTTTGTACACTCACAAAAAAAGCTAAATGTTTTTTTTTTCTAGGCGACCTAATTTCTCTTTTTTTTTTTTTTTGCCTTCACCAGTAATAAAATTGCTTTTTTTTTTTAATGGAGTTCCTTAATTCGTATTTACCTTTTTTTTCTCTCATAGAAAAGAGAACAACAACAAACATTCATCTGTATTTATGTCTTCCGGAAAACGACTTTTTTTTGGCACTAAAGTTTCTCSATTGCTCCGCTTTTTTTTTTTGAAGATTGCCGTTTCTATAAGTACATCTGAGCCAGGTCTGTCTATACACTAATACAACCTTTTTTTTTGTAAAAAATCATGTGRGAAAAAAGGGTTTTTTTTATGTGGGTGTGAAAATAAAGACACTGTTTTTTTTTTATGCTCTATCGACGTTTCAAATAACCTTTTTTTTTGTGTTAATTTTTTGTAAATATTTATATTTTTTTTGATGTAATGTCCTTTGATGAGATTGACATATAATACCCTTTTAACGGGAAACCGCTGTGTAGTTTTTTTTTCTAAAATGGTCCGGGCTTTCGAGATGTTTTTTTTTTTTAGAAATACGTATTGAATGACTGTTTTTTTTTTTGGGTTTTTCAGATTTTTTTACAAGATTTTTTTTACTTCCAAAACAAATGCCATCTAGGATTTTTTTTTTAAGCCTTGGAAGATGTAAAGAAAGCGCATTAAACTTTGGGAAT